TCGCATGCGTACAGAAGCTGATGTTACGAATTACGTATTAAAAATTCAATACCGCCGCTAATGATTAAAACGTAAGAAAATGAAATAGCGTGTTTAAAAATATCGAAATATATTAATGAAATGGTCCTCGGTTCAAAATTAGACAATATTGAAAAACATCATGTCATAAACTAAAGTTTCATTATCTAAATGGAAAACTTAGAATTTCTAAAAAATTGTTTGATTTCGTTTTTAATGCTTTAATTTAATTTAATTTAATTTAATTTAATTTTAAATTACTATCAAACTGTTAATAACCCTCGTGATGACAATTGCTCAATAATGCTACAAATATAACGCGACAGCTAATTAGCATCACGAAAAGACGATAACAATAAACTTCGAGATATGCGAGTATCGACTTAACATGCCTTTTTTTAGAAATGTGGTGATTTTACGAAAATTCAGGATATCGATTCTGTAATTTTTTCTAAAGTAAAAACGTGAAAAGTAAAAAATTTCCACCAATCACGCATCGATTTCATTTTAAAATCAATGCGTGATTGGCGGAAATTTTTCATTTTTCACGTTTTTACTTTAGAAAAAGTTACAGAATTGATACCCAGATATACGTTTAAAGGTGTCACTTTTCCATAATAAGTGTTATTTGGAAAAATATAACGTTTATTTGTTTTCGATTATAATATTAAACTCCATTTCAAAACCGGATTTGACCTGGTTTTTCCCGTTATAGGATTCTTAAAAAAGTACTTTCTCAGTTTTTTCGGTTCTCGTTTTTTCAGCCTTATAATCACGCGTACTGGTTCACGTTTGCTACGCGAGCTTTTTTTGAGAAAAAGTAATAAACGTACTCTTAAAATATCTCAGCGAGAAATGAGGGTCAAAACGACATTAATTCGTCGTCGAATCGATGTCAAATTGATCGAATCGACATCGATTCGACAATCATTTCTCGCTAGGTATGGTAACGGTATCAGGATGAAACATAGGATTGAGCCGTCATATAATCGCGGTCATGCAATGTATATGCGGCAGGAAAGTAAAGTTTAATATATATAGTCATTTCACGGGAATTTTTATAAAGATATAAAGGTATAATTTATAGTAGTGATTTGTACCTTAAACCCGGGAACAGTTACAGCGACAAATAGAAACGAAAGCCACGAGAGTAACAAAATAACATATAAAAAAATAAAAAAGTTCGTACGTAATAAAATCCGAGACACATTAAGATATTAAAACAGTTTACGTATATTACTGCAATTTAAAGAGAGTGCAATAATATAATTAGTGAGAGGTTTATTTAGCATTCTAATTTGAATTCGCATACACGTTCATTCCTAGAGATTTGTAAAACAATTTCTCGAAAATAAAAGAGGAATCATTTTTTCGAATAATTATGCTAGAAATCGCCAGCATGCAAATAAAATTGCTACGATACTCGCACTCCTCGCAAAATCGATTCTGAGAATAGCGATTTAATCACTCTAGTTTGAATCTTGATAATTTTTATTATTAGACCATCTATTTTCTCTCAACTTGCAAAAAATATATTGCACTTACCTCAATTCGCCGAGATATATTTATCAATGATTTTTTTTGCTTTTTAATATGACGAATGTGTATGTTTAAATGAGAGCTGATAATATAATAATATTAAAATTATACAATATATATATAATTATTCTTTAATGAAACATCAAATATGAGATGATATTGATAAAGTTTAGTATTAATGAAAATGGCATTTTCTCTCTGGAAGGGAAGATTAAGTGCTTTATGCGTTGTGATTAGCAGTATTATTTTATTTATATATGTATTGTGTAACACACTTAAAAATACGTCAAATACACCGAATGCGCAGACAATAATATGCTTCATTCTTCGCCTTCTCACTTTAAGCAAAACTGTTATTTTTCTTTCATCATATCATAATCATCTTTCTTTCTCATCTTGCAATTATTATTATTCCTGCACTTGCTTCTGACACACAATATTTTTTGCTTCTGACAATATTTTTTCCACGAATCGTAGAATAAATTATTACATGAGCCAAATTTATTAGAACAAGTAAGTTGCATTAATTGTATACTCGAGTCTTCTTCCCTTAATTTCAGGTTTTATTATGACCCGATTATGCTAAGCAAAGTATCATTCGCGCTTTTCATATCCTAGTGATGTTCATTATTTGATGTAAATAAAAAATATGAAATAGATTGCAATTATGCAAATCAACGTTTCATACTGAAATATTAGCGTGAATATACTTTGTTTAGCTTTATTTTTAAATAACTCGATACAGGTTACATAACTTGTGTTCCACTCTCGTATTATTAAATCTTGAATACTTGAAATAAATTTGTGCAAAAATAATTGTGCAGTCACGTACATGTAATCGGTGAACAGACAAACTACTACTATTAGATAAACTATTCAATACAATGTCTCAACATATTTACTGTCGATTACAAGATAAAAGTGTCCGTCACAGTGTGTTTTCAGAAGAAGCTCACGAAAACTTACAAAGTGTATAGACTAACATTAAAAAAAGTCGTCTCGATCGACGAGTAACGCCTAGATTTCACGATCGAGATCTTTTTCTCCCTTTTGCAAAAAAGGCACATTGTAACGAGATAAAGTAGAATTATTTATGACCCTCCTTATACACTAAATATCTCTATATCAGCATATACACGTATTATCAAGTATTAAATATTATTCGCCATCGATTATTTCAGTTGCGCAAAATAAACGACTTCTAAAAAAAAGAGAAAAAGAAAAACAACAATCAACAATTATTTTCTTTTAGAGAGCTGGCTTCACAAAACATTACTCGCGAATAAGTCTCTCTATGAATATTTATAAAAAAAAAATAGATATCACGAACAATAAATGTATACCTGTATATATGTGCGTGCATGTGTATATGTGTGTATGTATGTATGTGAATATGCGTATGTGTGTGTACATGTACATATATAACGACCGATTTAATCGCTATCGCTGACACCAATAGTTTAATATTATATTTTATCATTCGCTTAAATGTGTGCGTGCATTTATCCACACAGCGCAAATCTATTCTTATCTACGCAAAAGGGATGCATATCTCTAACAAATACATCTATAGGATATAGATTACATTATAATTAAGAATTATTTTCTTTAAAAAAATATGGCGACAATACGTAAAATTTGCAAGCTTAAGAGCGAATCTGCCGTGAGCAATTCGCGCAGCACCTAACACTTGTAAAATTGTCAAATCTCTAAAATCGTGTACCTTATTAAAAGTTATATTAACGGCTAACAAATAGCAATATAGGCTAACAATCCCTCCCCTTGTCACGAAACGTGCGAACATTAATATCCAAAGTACAAGACGTACAATACATCAAAGTACATTTTGTCAAACAAAAATATAAAGTTTTGACTAATTAAATTAATAATTAAACATAAAATAAAAATCCTTTCTTTTTCAATAGAATTATTCACAAATGAAAAAATAAAGTCGTCGAGTTTTAAAATAAAAACCGTTTCATTAATATGATGTGTTCTAATTAATAATTCAGCGATCTAATTGTATTTTCTTTCTGTAGTAATTATATTAACTCTCTAAAATCAATTAAAAATCTATTTTTAAATTTCTCTCTCTCTCTCTCTCTCTCTCTATAACAATTAGAACTATCGAAAAATTATGGACATCCGGCTAGCTATAGAATTTTTCAAAACTTCTGCATGTTCTCATTTTTTTTATATTAGGTCAATGTTATATGTCTCAGATCAGATAATTTCACGTATCATGTATGATGTAACGCGTGCAGATCTACTTGTACATATGTACATACTTGGCTGAGATGAGCACATATATGTATATATATACAAATACATACGTCAATATGTTTAGGTATAGTCATATTGTACATGCTGCACACGTAAATGTAATGTACGCGAGCATTTCTACAACGTACGTCAATTACCATTACTGGTTGATACTTTACAATTTTGAGGCATTCTAAAGAACGCATTAACACAGACAAAGTCAAACAAGAACAAATTAGTAATCTTTGTTCAGCAATATTATAATTTTCACAGGTGCTCAAGTTCTATCAAACGTAACAAATCCTATCAACTAATTCGATTCGTGTTGCCTTGTGATTCCCATTAAGATGATAAACAGATTGCATTACAATCGCATTTCCATAATGTAATCCGCGTTAAGCGGACTACCTTGAATTGAGAATATGTAATTTTCTGTAATAAATACGTCAGGATGCTACAAATTATAGAATATCGATTTACTGGTTGATGAGACGTACTTTATGTTGTCTTTGTAATGACATTTTACACGACTGGTGTCTCATTTTAAATCATCGAAGAAAACAATGGCGAATTAAGAAAAGGGAGGGTTGCCGGATTTCAGCTAATTAAAAATTAATTGTCAAATTAATTATCGTTAGCCATGAAAACTCTTTTCGCGATTCACACGGCGGAAGTAGAATGATGTTTCTACACTTGAATAGCCACGCTGGAAATGATACATCTTCATCTCAGCATAAAGACACGAAAATAAAATAAAAATATTACCGTAATAGAATTGATTCTAATTGAAAAACTCTAATATTATTAAAACAAAAAATATTGTATACAATTTCACCAAAAAAAATAGCATCTGTTATATGTATATGCAAATCACAAAAGGAAAATTAATCATGAGATAATTTTCGAGTAAGACCTTGTGTCCACAAAGCTTGATTAATATGTAAATTAATTTTTCTGTTACAAATTGAGTAAAGCAATGACGACAAATTCGATGTAGCGCGGTGCGACATGTAACATAACATTATTTACAAAAACGAGTCATTAAGATCTATGATAATATTCAATCGAACTATACATCAAATTAATCGGCACATGTTTCAAACGCAGAAGAAAAGAACTGAGAGAGAGAGAGAAGGAAAAAGGTCGAAAAAATGCCAAGAAAAAAAACAAGCAAAAGAAAATTAAAACTGCATGTGTCGAAGACAGTTTTTCTCGATGCTCTTATTTATATATTAATTTGCTGCGAGCTGGAAGGACCAGTTTTGGAGCGGCTGTTTTATCGCACCGCATCGCATGACTGATACATTCACCGATTTCGCGATTATACAATACATGCAGTTGCACTTGTGTATATGTAAGTTTTAATTATCGAAGGAAACATAAATGGGGCCACGATAAATCACTGAATACCGTGCGAAAAAAAGAATTTTAATACGTACAACGCGTGACGTCCTGATGATTAATGCTTGTCGCATTAATTGCTTCGTTTTGCAATATTATTTTTAAAGGAAAGTCACGAATTTGTTCTTGAGCAAAAACAAGGAACATATCTTATTGTTAGAAAGAGATACTCTGGTAGAAAGATTTTATATGAATATTCATCATCGACGTAATCTTAAATCTTAAATAAAATTAACCAAATTGCGAATATCTTACCATAACTCACGCACAAAGCTACACGCACATAGCTGCACATCTCGTAACCCTCCAGTAACATTTAATAACACAAATCAAGAAAATAATATTTGCGATAATCAATATATGTATATGTGATACATGAATAAAGCAGAAAACGTCAAAATCACTACAATTTGTCGATTAATTTGACTGATCGCCGTCGCCATTATCGTGGATGTCCGGTTTTTTACACACAATCGGAGACACGCATTGCATTTGAGAAGAAACGACTCGTTAAATAAATGAAAACGAATAATAAAGAGAATCAGAAACGCGATCTCTCGTTCTCCAGAATTTTATTTGATGAAACTTACAGAGAAATCGTGTGCGTAAAGAGATAATCGGAAATTCGTCATCTACCGGAGAAACTTGCTGTTAAAGAACCGCGATTACGACGTTTAAAATGATCAAGCTTAATAAAGGACGGAAAACGCGTCTAGGAACGTCCTTCGAAATTATTACGGCGACTTTCTCGCAACAAAAAAGCACTCGAAATCTTGATCTCACAATCAACTGATTTAGTCCATCGAATACGCATAGCGATGCCTCAAGATGTCCAAAATAGACCTAGCAATGATCAAATTTGTCAGGTCCACCATTCTCCTTGATAGCCGTCTTATCACTTTGGAGGCAACGCGATTTTCTTTGGATTTGACATGTTTTTCTCCTCGACTTCACTGACCATTAGACTGGTCTGAAAACAAAAAAGAAAAACTGTTTAATTATTTTTATAGAAGACATGCATATGTAGCCAAGCTATATTATTTTTTATTCTCCAACTATCATTTATGTACAATATAATTATATCTAATTAAGCCGCAATAGTAATTGCTATATCTTGTAATTACATATATTTCCAGCAGATAATTACAATAAGCAATGAGTTTTGTGTAATGAGTTTTACACAGATACATATCATGTGTTTTACTCTGCGACGAAGAGTTTCAGAAAACAAGTAATGATTTACTTGAAAATGTAATGTGACTAATGTGTGATACGTAATTTTTATATTTCCTTCTGTCAAAAGTATCATTATTTTTAAATTAGTAATAATTTCAGTTTAACTATCATTCTTTTAAATATCTGTTATTTTAGCATAAAAAAAAATATTTTACTCTTAAATTAAATTAAATTATACTTTACTTTTAGTATGATCTTAACTACAAACCAGCAGTTTCAAACAACCATACTAATGCGAAAGAAATACCGAATTACCAAATACCGGAAACCGCCGGTCTGGAAACGTAACCGAGAAGTTAACGATCGCCGTGTCGACTTAACCGACGGATATTAAATCGGAACGTTTCTCATTCGAAAAGTTTTCTCTCGAAGAGACGAACGACGTGAGAGGAAACTTACCGTGATGCTCTAAAGATGCGTCAGATCACGAATGCGGGGGAAGGGATACACGATCTCTCTCTCTCTCTCTCTCTGTCATAAACGAAATCTCCCCTACGAAATGTCGGCGAGAGGGGAAACGGGAACGGATAAGAAAAAGACAGGGATGATGGCAAGAGGAATATATGAGAAAGAGACGACCGGGACGTGCGAGAGGGGGAGAATATATTATGTTCGCTAAAGCAATGTTATACCAACTCGAGAACTGGCGAACTAGCCAACAGTAAAATCCATTTTATGTCTCCCTCGTAAAGCCAGTCAAATGAAACCTGGACTTAGTTTTCATACGTGCATCCACCACCGACGGACCCGGTTTTCTGCTCAACACAGCGGAAAGGATTGTGACAGACTTTTTCAAAAGTCTAGACACATTGATGCCTTGATCGGACATCTCCGTTGAGACAATTTTGCTTGCTGAAAGCCGATCGCGTGACTTTTTCAAAAGTTACCCACCGAGGTACAATTTCGTTTGTTCTTTTTTTATCAACATCTTGAACATCACCTCATACATAAAGAAATATTGCATCCGAAAAGAGCATCGCAAAAGTCTGAAGTCGATTTATAGAGTAATAAATAAAATAATCATAAACTAAATTAAACTTTTAAACTATTGTAAACATTAATTGATTAAGAACCATTGTTCCATTGTATGAAAAAAAAATTTCAAAATAATATAATAAAACTAAGGAACTACGATACAATAATGCAGAGTCATAAAAATACGCATTTTATTAAAATCATATATCCGTTTTAAATAAAAAATGAAAATAAATAATCAAGAAACATAAATAAAATATTGTATGATATGCGAAAAATCGGCGGTCTCAGCAGTGTATAACCACACTGATAACAAAGTTAAAAATCTGACGCGTTGTATATTTCGATTGAGACTTCTATCTTATCTGGAAGATACACGAAGCTACGTAACTTGTAAATAAAGAGCAGTGTAAGATAGACACTAAAAAGCTTGACCAAGCAAAACATCGTCCGATACTAAAACCTGGTCGCATCGTAAAACACGTTCCGCAGACATAATGCTCCGAAAGCGTAGTAGCGATAAAGGTTCAATTCGCATCTCGAAGAATCGATTTTGAAAGGATCTTTCCTAGACATCATCAACTTCTTCTCGGAAGAGGTATCGTTTTAATCAGCTCTTCTGTTTGTCGATACCACTCGTATCATCGATAAAATCTATTCGTAATTCAAATAAGAGAAGACTGTAGGAGAGACAAATGTTTGTAGAAGTAAGAGCGATTAGCATATAATAGCTTCAAAGCAACTTAAACTGTTAACGCATCAGTAAATCAATATAAAGAAAATTGATTTCAAAAACAAATATACCCGACGGAGAAAAAAATGTTACGTTAAAGACTGACTGAATTCTTTGTTGCTCGCGTAATAATCTGATATTTTAGACACCCATCAATTTTTACATAGGACCAGCTCCGACGATGCGTGAAATATTAAGTAAGTCGATTTCCCTCTAACACTAGTCATTTTGATGCACCATCTCAGAGACGAAACCGGTGTTACGTCCTCGTTTCCAGTCGTTCCGCAATACGCAGATTTTTTCCTGTCTCACTCTAGCTCGTAGATCTGCGTCTGTATACGATTCATTTTCATGGGGCTTTAACCGTCTGTACCAAAGTCCTTTTTTTACGAGGTTACTGTCCGAGTGCCAGCCATTTTGTTAAGTACATGTATCTATAATGACACGACGAGTGTAAGATCTACTCGCTTTAAGTGGATGCGAGTCTTCAAGAATGTTCGACGACCAATTGCGAATGCACGAGAGTTAGTATAGTCGTCGCACCTTTTTTTTACACAAGTTTTTCAAGCACGACGACGAATAAAAATGCAGCTGAACGTCTCGTCCCATTGTAAATACGGTGTTTTTTTACATTATCTTTTTACATTACAATATCTTTATATGCCGAATATATTATGCAACTCATTATTCTTGTTACGTATTCTCGTAAAAACTGTATAAGATGTGTAATTATATATAATCATCTCCAAATGAGACAAGAAATATTAATATGAATATCTTGCGCACATATATTATATAACGCTCTATATAAAGCTGTAATGTAAATTCTGTTAAAAACTGAAATTTACAACTGAAAACATAGTTTCACAGGAGTAATAATAGCAGATAATAAATATAATTATAGTCTAAAAGAAAAAAGATTCGATGAATCATCAGTACAGTTAATGTTTTCGTCATTTTTGAAAGGTATCCTCTCTCTCTTCCAGATTGGAGTGTCTCGTAAAAATATAATTTACAGCTATACTGCCTTCTATAATCTCCTTATATGATGATTCGTGTTTTGTCTCGTTCCATGCAATTTTCATCGATGATTTTTATGCATGATTCGATTGATTTGACAAGCCACATTGAAGATTAAATTAACAAAAATTATCGACCAAATAGTTTGCAAATGTTTCTTTCATGTGATATATAATAAAAATTTTTGATAGACTTTTGATCTGACAGAAGAAAAAATTAAGATACTTCGCGTTCACTGATTATTGCTGCTGTCCACTGATTGAATTATATTGATCGAAGATTATTTGTTAAAGATAGTTCTTCGTTATGTTTTCGATAATTATATAAGACGAGGATTAATACAGGAATGACATAAAAATCAAATTCATTATCAAGCAGAATTCTTTCTCAATTTCGTGAAAATATCTACACACGATGAGTCATATATTTATCGATATAAAGAATTTCTTCCAATCTAAGTAGATCCTAAGACAAACAGGGGACCGCTCGAAAAGTCGTAAACAAGGTCTGAGGAAGAGATTTCCAGACACGTAGCTAAAGTGGAAACAGTCGCGATGGTTGCGGAGACGAGGTGGTTGGAAATTTATAGTCTGCTAGTAAGTGCTTCGCAGATTCTCACACTTTTACCCGTGCGTTACTACCCTTGACGAGGATTTAGGTGGGTAGGAGGGAGAGGCCGTAAAATCACTCTGTGGATACTTGAAATAATACCTATCTACTTTCAATGTCCCATTTCGTTCTACCGAAATATTGGCGAATGAACGGTCGTCTTTTCGCACTTCTCATTCAAGATTTTATATATATTATTATTGCTATTTTTTATACTAACTATGTGCAGTTTTACATTTTTTAAAAACGATCCGAGGATTTGGTTAGGAGATTAGAATATAATATAATAGATAGCTTCCTCGTTCTCGTTTACAAACATGAAACATGACTGTCATGTCAGTTATGATTTGTTTATCGATGGCAAGTGCAAATCGGTAGAAAGCGCAGTCACCTTCATTAAGAAGAGACGAAATATTCTGGGTGGACCTCGGTGGCTCTTCTCGTCATAGGTAAGTACACCGTATTTTATAGAAGCCTGCTTGTATATTCGCGCGTATGACTTTAACTGTCGATGCGAGCTTCGCCTGTATTTCTTCTCAAGTTTTACTGGCGCTAGGTCGACCGCTCCAGGCCGTAAACGTCAGTCCTCGCTAAAACCGCAAGCCAGGTTGTCAGGTTCCTCAGCCTTCTCTCTTAGCCACCTTCTTCTCTTTCTTTCTCTTCTCTTTGGCTCTTTTCGCGTTTCTCTTGCCTTTAAGCAACCGACGTCTTCGGCGAACATCATGTGAATTTATCCGACAGTTCTCTACCCGTTGGCGCGATTCCTGAAGGACGTCGCTCTTGACGAGTACACTAACGGGAAAGTCTACGAGAGGAGCCTACAAAGGCAATCACTCTCTCTTCGCATACATATGTTAGAAAATAAAATTCTTGAATTACACATAATGTGAATATATCGATCGACGTTTCGCCTTGTGCCTTTCTATACATCGTGTTAAATTCGAAATATCGATTTCTATCTCAAACAAACTGTGAATTATTGATTTGAAAATTAATAGTGTCGTACAGAGTATAACCCTTCTTGGTAAAAAAAATTGTTTCGTGATAAAAAAGCGCAACCGATCGTTAGCCACAACCAACGTAAATGCGCGAAAGACACTTTAAAGTTATATGGACACAACTTATGCGCACGTTCGCCGATTATTGCAATTCTAGGAATAGATGAAACCTTCCCCCTTTTCGAGAAGTCTCTAGCAGGCGACCGGGCAAGGACGTTTTAGAGTCGACCGGAAGACGTCGGGTACCCGTGTATCGTCTCGGAGCTTCATTAAGAATGCAATATGGCGGGTTTTTTGCCAAGCAAAAGAAGGGAGTGCGCGTGAACCCGCGGTCGGTCGCTTTTAAAAAAGTTATGACGAAGTTTATGAGGGTTTAATTGTAGCCCGCGACTGCAGTTAGAAAGTAGTAAAACTCCTTCCGCCAGCGAAATTGTAGTCTGTTACACTGCTTAACGCTCTCCAGTTCCTGGTTACATATGAAAAGGACAATGTGTGTGTGTGTGTGTGTGTGTGTGTGTTTATGTGTGTGTGCACGATGAAGAAGAAGTAGCAAAGAAGCATTCGCAGCGGCTCACGCACTTTGATGCTGCTAATTATTGTTTTATCTGTCGAATAAATTGTGCCTTTATTTTCCGAGTATAAGATCGATAATCGTTATCGAGATCATTGATGTTGTGTCCGAGCAATTTCGCCGATTCGCAATCATTATCAGTGATTTCAACGAGTGATGCCATAACGTTGTGAGTATACATAAGATAATTGTACATAATCAACGTATAATAAACTGCAGCAGGCGATAATGGATAGAAATGAAGGAAAAAATATTTCCGTGAAAAAAAACAGTGTTATTTCAGAATAATTTAAAATATATATGAAGGCTTAGAAGAAAAATCTACAGAAACTTTACGTACAAAATATGATTCATGTATATATTGAACATGTTTTACTTTCTTTTCTTACTTATTTTTTACTTTATTTTTTATAAAATATCGATTCTCCCGAAACTGTCATATCTGCGGACGGAAATTATTATTAATACAGTTTATTAGAACATGCGAATTCTCAAATATTGGAAACGAATTGCGCAATATACATTTCAAAATTATAGCTCGCAGCAAACTTATATTCGTGTGCATGCTTTAAAAATCATGACATTGTCATTTCCAGTAGATTTTCTCTATTTGCAATCATAAAATTTTGTTCGCGGATTTAAATAGTGACAGATAGATTTATATAAAGAATTAAATTTACCGTGTAAAAATTAATGTAAGAATTAAAGATCTCTCTCGTAAGATTTATCAAAATTTTTCCAGACTATTTATTCAAAGAGATTGAAATAAACTATTTTAATGATGTTTTAATTCCATAAGTTTTATTATATCTCGTCTAAAATACGCGAAGAAACAGAATTATATTTGTACACATAATTTAGCGAATAACTTACATAAAATTCACAAAAAATTTATAGATATAAAAATTCAAAAAACTAACAAAAGAGCAACGATATCTGCAATTATAAAAGAATTATCAATAATGCACGACACAATTATAATCATGTAAGTTCAGCTGATGTTAATATCACGATTTCCTGTATTATTATACATCAAGGATTTTACTAAAAATAGAAATGAGTTCTGGGGAGATCAGCGACATTTTGTGAGGCATGGGACTCGACTTTCCTAATGCTTGTCACATAAACTCTGGTAGTTTACCGCGCACGGAGCAAAATGAGCGGGAGAAACTGTGGTGCCTCACTTATGACTTTGCGACGACGGGGAACGCAAAAGGGCGGTAAGAAGAACAAGAAAACAATGATGACGAGGTAGGTGAAGCGTAGAATAAGAAAAAAAAGAGTAAGTTGTAAAGCGAACCGCGTTTACGACCGTCGTTAAATTCGCTCTGACCGACCTGTCTGATTACATTGATGCTGCTTACTGCAAAAGCGGCACTAATCCTTTCGCCGTACGTTCGTGCAACTATTAGGGGGCAATTGTGAATCCTTGTTCTCTTTGCTTATGCGACGTTAAATTGACGAGGATCGATTTTTTCTGAGTCGATGAGAAGAGTATTAGGCATTCTTTTAAATGTATAGTTGGCTTTAACAAGTGTCTTCGGTCACCGAGGATATTTTTCCAAATCAATTTACGAGATAGAGAAAAATATTGAAAGAAATTGTGTATCATATTTTACACGCAAATATGCAATTTTGCAGATGCAAAAAGTACGAGACGAGTGATAATACGGATATGCGACGATTGAGAGAAATGCAACGTCGTGTCTTACAATTCCCGTCGCAAAATATTCCAACATCCACCACATAATGACCGACAGAAACGTCATTCGACGTGAAACGTTTCGCCATGACTTCCCGCCAGAAACGCTTAACATTTATTTACATTGGAGAAGGAAAGAGAAAAGGCGTACGAAGTATCAACTTGCGTGCCGAATTCCGAATCGTTTAGTTAGCCTCGACTTCGATACGAAGAACAAACATCAACGACAAGGAAAATCGACTCGCTTTTAACAACCCCTAATTACGGGCTGAAAGCAATCAGTATGCCGAGATAGTCGACGAAACCTTGCCGACGTTTTAATTACCTCTTCCATTTTCATATCTTGCGCGCGTGTCGTTTAGCGAGCCGTACATATTTATACGTAATTGTTTTTACGACCATCATTGCGCTGTGCGATGTTGATACCTCTTCGGTTTTAACGGTGGAGTATATATGCATCCAATAAATCTGGATTTCTTCAGTATCTTGAGAATCGACGTCCTCGTCTCAAGTCGGATTTAATTTGTACGATAAAAATAATCAATTTATTTCACAATTTTTTTCGGATTTAAAGTACTTACGTACATTTGTAAGTAGATGCAACTTTTATCCCAATAATATCATTTAATTTTGAATGAAGAATGAGAAAGAAAATGAATTTCGAAATATCAACCATTACAAGATTAAATGTTTGAATACGACAAGACATAAATTCTACGGTGAATTGCATTTTCGACGATCAAGATGTTGCGGTTTGAGAAAACACACTCGCCACAAATGTGACTATATTATTACGAAGTTTCATTTTTATATTAATAAAAACATAAGAGAAAATTTCTCAATCCTGATTATTGGTCTATTCAATATGTGATTATTTTGTTACTAAAATAAATAAAAATTACTCTAACACAACATATTAAGAATATTATCATATCTACCATAATTATAATTGTGATTATTATATTTAATATCTAAAGAAAAAGAGAGAGAAAAGAAAGAAAGAATGAAAAAGGAAAGGAGCAATAAATGCAGAGAGCAAGGAAAGAGAAAGAAAATATTATATTAGTAAAAACATTATCATTACCTTCAATTTTGTATATATACTTATCAGCTGTTCTTTTTCGTGTCATGATATATAAATTTTTATGCCTGTATTAACATGTCATTTCAGTTTGCCTGTCAATCTTTTTTAAACGTTAAGAGAAAAAAAAAGAATCTTCTATTGAACCTTGTGTACGCAGTATCTTACGTTTACGTTTTACTTACAAAACACCTTTATTAAATTAATATCAAATTTTTGTATTGTCTCTATGAAATAATCCTCCTTCTCTCTCTTCTCGTTCTAATATACATTTTTTATATATAATCTATTAGCTTTATCCAAAAAATCCATAAAATTAAACAAAATTAAAATAATATTAAATCACTATAGAAAGTAATATGAAAGAAAGAACTTTTAAAATGAGAATTTCTAATATAAAAATTTACTTATAATTTCAAGTTTTTAAGTTTATTCTTCTAAGCAAACTTTATGATTTAAAATTATTTGTTGCAAAAATATTTCGTAAATATAAACATGCACGCATTTGGAGCTTATCTCAATATATGCAAACTATGAGATACGAGAAATCCTTGAAAAGTATCGGTAATTAATCGAGATTTGCCGTAATCTTTTTGGGATACCAGCAAACGTATGAGAGCGAATTAAATGTAAATACCGTAGGCAGCTTATCTTTGAGGCAGAGCGCGTAATCCCTGATAGCCGATTGGCCTCGGGTTTTGAATCCTGCTTTCTCACGAACAGCAAAGCTATTTCTTCTAAATCGACCGACAAAAACGATAGCCGACTATCGTGAATAAAAATGGCAAGGGAGACTGGTCAGCACTCGTAAATTCAATTCTTTATATAGTGTTGTCATCGTTAAAGCTGGAGAAACGAAAAGGGTTGTCGTATTCTCAAGTTCTGCACATCTTATATATATATGCGTCCTGAGCGATCGCTTTGACGAAGTTAGTCACAAAATTGATATGGATGAAGTTTTTCATAGAAAACGCAATGTAGTAGTTCTCTTTTTTCCCTCTATACGATTTGCCATTCGTTCTACACGATATACTTAATATATATAGCTATGATACGATGTTGGATTGTTTGATGTAATTTTAATTTTTTACAATTCAATTATTACTATTATAATATATTAATATACGAGAAAATATGAGAAAATTTAATTTCTAATAATCAGATAACAATTATATGAAATCTGCAAGTAAAAAAATCTCTTCTTACAATTACGGATACTTATTAAAAATTAGAAAATTGACGGAAGAGAAAATATCGAATGATAAAGAGAACGGAAAAGGAAAAGCGGATAATTAGGAAGCATCTTTACAGTAGAAAAAACTTTACAGAAATTTCTTTACAGAAGAAAGAAGGATGAGCTTGTTGATCTAAACGCTGTAGTCTGCTGGGCTCTCAAAAGGAAGGACATTTTATAGCTCAGAATCTATTATGTGTGCCGAATTTGTAATTACACGATTCAGACTCACAACGATCCGAACAAAATAAAGGCATCAGGAAATAACCACGATTTATGTTTTAAACTGAAAGATAATCCATTTTCTCATCTAGCGCCTGTCTATCGATCATATTCAATTCATCAGTCGGATTTTGCGTTACAGTCAATTAATATCACGAAAGACATTAGTCCTGATGCATTCATTCAGAGAGATTATATGTATAGTGATCATGTTCATGTTCATGTGACAAAATCGAAATAATTTGTTTACAGAAGGAAATATAAGCAAATAATAAAGTAATACTTACCGGTAACATATAGAAGATTCGGTAGATGGTTCGGTAGAAGATTTAGGTAAGTTGTCAATGTGCGGAAACGCATTCAAGGAGCCCGTTACATTCCAAAATGGCCTAAAGCCATATGGAGTCTGCAATTCTAATCCATTAACATTAACATATGAATGCGCCATATAGTGTGCCGCCCATCTAGGTAGGAACGGAGAAATTTCTACAATGTTCGATGACGACCAGCGTAATTTGTTGAGCTTGTCGCTTTCATCAACTGTAAAAAAAAAATAATTATATACGCGTGCACAGTAATAAAATTGAAGATTTATTTACAAATCAAAATTTATATACAAATCGAGTCTTATTACATAAATGATTTCTGTTTTGCAACACACATCATTAGAATTAATTAAATTAATGTTTCAAGAATCGTAATATACCTATTAATAAATTTTTTAATTTGTTTTCTTTTTAAATAATCACAAGTTAACTGAATAAGTAATTTGTAAACTGATACATATATAAAAATTATCTATAAGACTGCATGTGTTGCTGATAAAATTTTGAAATCCATCAAACGCATATATTTAATAAAGATTCCACTCGATCTAAAATGGACCGGATGTGTCGAGACTTGTTTCACACATAACAAACGTGCATAAGTATAAACCTCTCCCATTGTACTAACGGCTCAAAATGACCTATCGAATGAATGCATCTTGATAGTTACTGCTTTTGTGCTTTCATTGCTTAATTGATGGTATTTAATTTTAATTGTTACCGCTCCCGCGACCGGGATAATGAATACTGTTCATTGTTGGAAGAGCCCTTTCCCATATTTCTCGAGCTTCCTTAGCGGTATAAACTTAACTTACAGTTCAGAGCATTATAAACGATCTAAATTAGTTACTCTCCCGATTACCGGAATACTCGAGCACCCACTGAAATAGACCAATTTATGGTCTATTTTATCAAATTATGATCAGATATTATATTTAAAAATTTGCAATGCTTTATTCAAAAACTTTTTATTTTGCGTACGTGAAATAAATTATGTGGAAATGTATAAATAAATACAAATAATCATTGATTCATTTAAATAAAGAAAACTTAATGACATTTAACATTTTTAAATCATTGATTTAGAACAAGGTGAATCCAAAAGAAATGAGAATTTACACTTGAAGAATTTATGCTCGAAAAGAAAAATATCGCCAATTTAATAAAGAAAATGGCTTTATCTTTTAATTTCAGATATAAATTTTGTATGATTTATATAGACACAAATTACAATTTGAATTACTTCATCGTAACAGTCTGTCGTGAAGTATGTACAGTAATTACAAGGATTACTTGAATATCATAGTAAATTATATGCAAGGTTGTAGAATTTATACGCTAAAAATTATGCGACAATTTCAATTCACGCGAAGCGCACAGGATTCTTACTTAGAGTCGATAATTACCGGTTTAACATGTTGCGACCGACATTTCTTGATTGCAGGGATGTACTACCTTCATCGAGATTTGACGATGAGGCCAATTTATAACGCATCTATCACGCCTTAAAAATCATAATTTTAAAGTTCATCTGCATTCTAAATTACATCTTACGCTCAGTTTCTTTCCAAAAAATCTGATGCTTTCGATACTTAAAAGAGCAGTTTATGGTGCATTAATAATCATCGATTATTGCACTCCTTGTAATCGCAGTTAAAGTTCACCTCTAATGCAGCACGTGATCGCAGTTAAAGTTCACCTCTAATGTACTTCTAAGAAATAAGAGAATAAGGAAATTACTTTGCAAAACTTTTATTGCATAACTCATTCGTTAACACGACTGACATACTAAATGTAACGCTGACGTGCGCTCATTGTCACTTAAGACTTGCAATTATTTCCAAATGAATCATGTGTGTACATACAGCTATTGTGTTCGTAATATAACAAAATATGACAAAGTGATGTTTAATGTTTTGTCTAGAAATGAATAAAACAAGATAGAAGAATGAAACCTCAATTATTTTTAATTTTCTTTCAATTATTGACGAGGAAGAAAAGAAAGAAAATTTGAAAAAAGTATATATAGCATATATATAAAAGTATATATAGCATATATATAAAATATATTGCATATATATAAAATATATAAAATATGATATAAAAATATATAATATAAAATACATTTATTATGTTCTATTTAAATCTACTATGATTACATAACAGTCATGCTTGGGGCAATCATTTTCTTAGAGGCAACATCTTGGGTGTTTTGCACCAACTGCACGTTCGAAACATTATCGGCCACTCGAGTATTTATGCTGTGCACCTCGGACAACCGGTGTGGTTATCAACAAACTACGACGCGGCCGTAGAAGAGAGAGCGTATTCTCGAGATTTATTACGGGTTTCAGTTTTCTACATATGTTCAACGAGGATCACACGTCGGCCGTAAGTGAGAAATTTTTCGAAACACGTCCGCCCAGATACGTGCAAATTATCTACACGCAAAAAATGATAACCCGATATTGCACGATATATTATTATGTAAAAAGCGCATTCATTACAAAGGTGAAAAAGACGCGCTTAAATATCATGAGGTTTGAATCCAACCAGAGAATACTAGAAAGTACTCGAGAGCTTAAAAAAATTCTACTTGCTTCGTAATTTACATTCAACGACGTAATCTCACCTACACGCTCGTTTCATCTCCCGATCCTTTTCTCACGAGAGTTGTCTGCAATCGCGCGATTTTTTGACGCTATATCGTCGCATGTTAAAACACCGCGATACATGAAACAGGAATCTCTTATCTATACTTAAACCCCGCGACACGAAAAACATTTACGATTGCAATAAGAAAATTGTGAGGAATGATTCACGACGATTTATATGACACTATATATACATATACCCTAGAGAAAAAAAAGAATATAAGAGGATGCGTTGGAAATTAGAAAGTTTCATAAATTCCATACATCTCTTGATTTTTTTCTTAAAATGTAATAAATCCGAGTTTATTGCGTAATAAAGAAAGTCAGCGGGTATCATATATAAGTGATATTACGACCGCGAGCGAGGGAACAATGCGCAAATCTAAAGTTAAACGATGAGTATTACGAGTAACAGAGTATTATCGGATCAAACGTGCTCAGAAATAGGATTCGCAGCTGCATGTTCGCTGGCGTCCAGCTTACTTAATCGCCACGACTTCCGGTTGCTTTAGAATTACATGACGCCATCTCCATTGCGGACGAAGTGACGCCCGCTATACATTTCTTTTTAAGTACAATGTGTTATATTTTATCTTTTATTATTTATGAATCTTCTTATCAATCGTTTCAAATTATGCATTAAAAAATCAAAGGCATTTATTGCAGGATTATATTATTTTAATAAAATTTTGTTGTGCGGTCAACGGTGCAAATGCAAATAGATGGTATTTCTGCATATAGACTTATCAGTCACCTGTTCATTTACTATAACTATAGCATGTTACCAGAATATTATTTCAATGTCTCTTCTTCTTCATTCTTCAATGATTGCTCTCTGCAATTTAGTCGTGACAAATTATACATATATTAGCAAAAAATTTTGCGGAACACATGCATTTTCCTGCATTGAAATTACCGGTTTTCTCGACGATATAATTACGCAACCATCTGTCGCATACAACGATGCATGGCAAACATCGAGTGCAAACGCGCAAATATAACATAAAATTTATTGAAATGTTATCATTAATGAAGACATCTATTATATTTAGCAAGAATCTATACAAACAGATCAATCAATAACAGATTATGATCTTCCTTTTGGGAAATATATAATTATGAAGAAGACGAAATTCTTCTCGTATTAATTTTTCACATGTGTGATTCTATGATTATAAAAATACTAGTTTTTATCACTTACATATATACTTTATCTAAAAAATGTGGAATTTTATGAACCCTACATAAACTGGTTTAAATATGAGAGATATGCTTCTCATTTATTTACTTACTTATTACTTGAAAGGAAAACCCAAAAATGTTTCGCTAATATTAAAATACTATTTATAAATCAAATATAATATGTATATACACATATATGTATATGCATATCTACTTTGTAAGTTCTTAATAAATATAATAATGATAAAATTCTTATAATATTAAAAATAAATAATAAACATCTAATATTATAGGTTTGGGCCTGGAATAATATTACTTATTTAACGTTACGCATAAGATAATTACTGCTGCAAAATAAGGAGCGTGTCCAAAGGCGTCGAGGTGCGACGGAATGAATAAAATAACAGGGAGAAGAGTCGATACCCTGTCTGAACGGAATACACGTACAACCGCCTTACATCCGTTAAAAAATGAATGGCTGCGTGATGCAAAAGTTGTAATATTATTCGAGTCTTTCAAAGTTGAGGCGGTTCGAATGGTCGGTTTTACGACGGAGCACCGACGTCGCACAATGCCGGTCCTAGTGGTTTTACATATCGTAAAGTGCGTGCACGCGCGAGCTAAGAAGCGCATATAAATCGGCTTGCCTGCTGTTATGTCTCCCGCGTGCAAAGGACCGTTTACCATTTTATGCTCTTGGGGCCTTTAAAGTTCGTCTCCTGCTCCTCTGTCCTTCTCTCGCTTGACGAAAGTTGGCCCCCCGATAATTTGTTTAAGTTGAAATGTCACAGAATCAAAATTGCTAAATCAAAAATTAAAAGCGACGTTTTTATAACAATTAATGAGGACAATGTGAAAAACATACTTTTTGCAAAATTCTCTTGATCCCTAGAAATTAAAAAATTCACTATTAAGTGTATTTTAACTAATGAATTTTCGTTCACGCTATTGAGATTATTCTATTTAATGAGATTCGTCATAATATGCACATCATAATAAGCTTAATTTTTAAATTTTAATAAATAAAAATATTGATTTGTGCACTAATGTATTATACTTTATTGGAAATATATTCATACCAAGAAAAAAAATTTGCTTGCATTAATTCCGATAAGAATGATGAATATATAAGTCTGTTATTTGATATCAATAAATTATTTATCGCGATAAGCATGATGGTGCATGTGATACGTGGATATTACATAGATGTTTGCTATAAATTATGCGTTATCTATTTTTACGAAAACACTATATCTGCACGATACATCAAAGCTCTAGCTATGCGTTTGTGAATGTAACTTCGGAAAGCATGAGATCATTAGTTAATTCGTGTCACTCGACAAACCGTAAGATTCACGTTGTATGCACGTGCTTGTTA